GACAGACAAAAATTCTAAAAACTATAGAGTCGGCCTCTACATCGATAATAATGTCTACTTCAATAAGATTTTTCCAAACTATATTTTATTTGCAGATTCGGCTTAGTTAGAATTTTATTATTTTGTATAGATGTCAAAATTCGCGTAAATCTAAGAAAGTATAACGGTTTAGTAGTACCTGAGATGAGCTCGTTTAAACAAACAAATTCTGCCTCTTTATAATAATATTAGTATAGATTATAATATTAATATAGATGAAGAAGAAATTATCGTAATATAGCAATAAAATGGAAGCTAATTAAATAACGTCTGATTAGAATCAACTTTTGATCTCTACTTATAATTTTTTTATTACAAAAGCAATCATAAAATAGATGATAGACATATTGTTTATAGTTTAACAATTATGAAAATGTAAGAGGAAATATATAACCCAGTAAATACGTGGTCTACATAAATAAAATCGATCGAATTGATTGGTAACAATCATTTAAAATAATTGTTACCCAAGTACTGTTATAATATAACAATTATCATTTATGAATTAAAAAAGGAATTCTAAATATTTTTTAGAATACAAAAACAATTTACTGAACTCATTCTATCCACGGAGCGAATGAAATCAGCCTTTCCTGATTCCATCGTCGATTGATTGTTGGTATGACTGGTATTCTTAATGTGCAAATTCTGTAAACTATAAGTATGCGTAACGATTAATTATCGATTTTATTGCTCTCGATATCGAATACGTATTGCTTCCCTATGCGCTATATTACGGGGCAGGTTCATTAATACACATAGTATACTAGTAACTTACCCTGAATTTACCTCAAGTATAGTAACAGACAGTCAGTTTCACTAGAATCTTTTATAAAGAAAATATATTTTTTTTAATTAAACCTAATAAAATCTTTATTTAAATAAAAATTTGCCAAATGTATGTCACCGAACTATTTCAGAACGGCTGCACCTATTTAGCTAATTCTTTTTTGTTGTGTTTGTAATTGTGAGGACAAGGTTTGGGTGAAAGAAATATTTGTAAAACTGTACGGAAAAGTGAAAAATTGGGGTTAAAAAATAAAACAGTGAGTTGACAGATTGACGTTCAGTTGTTCAGTTTCTTCATCATGACAATATTTAAAAATGAAATTGACAGTTGTGTCAAAATCTAAGATATTTGTCTACACTAATATTATAAAAAGGTAAAGTTTGTGAGTTTGTGAGGTTGTAGAGGGTAGTCTCTGGATCTACAGAACCGATTTAGCTGAAATTTGGTAAGAAGATGGTTTGAGACCCTGGGAAGGACATAGGATCCCTTAAGGGGGTAAAATGGGGATGAAAGCTTGTATTGGGAAGCAAGCTTGGGACGAACCCGAGCGAAGCGAGGGTGAGTCGCTAGTCTACAATAAATGTAGTATATCTATGTATATTGTATATCTTTTTATTTTTTGTAAGAAGAACTGGCTAACAATGTTGTGATTTAGATCAACAAAGTTCATACATATTCATAACAAAAGCTTATGATATTTTTTAATAAAATAATAATTATTATAATCGATCTGTTAGGAATGTAGTGCATACAAACAAATAGCAAATAACGCCTGAGATTTTTTACTATTATTATGTCTTAGTCCTTAATTAAGCCCAGACATAATTGCGTGTCTGACTGAAGAATACCTAAATTTTACAGTTTATATTGTATTAGAGATATACATATTAATCCCTCCACGACCGCGGACACGCCAGCGTGTCAGTTAACAATAGATTTCTTAGAATTTTAATTAATTTCTTAGAAATTTACCCGGAGGTGTATCATGTATCATGTAGGTACAGGTTATTGTCATCTAAATATTTTAAGCAAAGTTACAATTTGAGGGTAGATAAATTTATTAAAATTAATTATTTATATAGAAAAATCTATGATATTCATATGGAAATTATTCATTTAAAATATCACGAAATGTGGTGTCACGCATAGATGATTTCCAATGCGAATGGGTCAAGTGAGCATATTTACCCTTGCTAGGGTGGGGGTGGTAATAGCGTACCGACACTTCAGTGTTGTGTTGACATCATATATAGTTGACCTCTCACCTTCGTAAATTCGAGTGATTCCGCGGTAAACAAAAGCGTATAAACAATTGCCGATAAAAAACCGGTAAGTGTCAAAATGCATATACCTTAAAAACTATTTCTAGAATAAATTTATACTATTCTCTTAGATTTACGCGAATATTTGATATTTAAAAAAAAACTATCTTGTCTCGACCGTGACCATGATTGCTGTTAAGTATTTGATATTTCGGAAACCAACAATCAAAATAAATCCACGAAAAAATCCAAAAAGACAGTTTTATTTAAAATTTATACTATTTTAAATATTTTTCATTATTTAAATATAACTAAGTTTAATTAATTATATAGATATTTTTATAAAGTTTTTGTCTAAGTTGATTTTTAATATAAAGTATTGTTTCATTGCTCTACATTATGATTTATTATTTATTTTGTTCCTAGTTCATTTTATTACGATGATATCACTATCCTTGTGGTCTTATCACGGATGCAAGCTCGTTAGACAATGCTTTAGGCGTGGTTTCACTTGTCGTGACTCGAATTAATTCTGCATGTGTCAATGTTTCATACTTCCGACGCCTGCTCGTGATCTTCAAATCATGTAAGACGTTGGCGGGATGATGTCTTTGTTCTATATAGCCAAATAAGCTGGACGTTATTCTTACATTAATTTCTAAAAATTTTCTTATTAAATTCACTATTTTATACTTCGTTTATAGTTTTTTACAGCTGCAATAACAAAAATTATTTAAAATAAATATTATAAACTCGAAAGTTTGTGAGGATGGCAAGTGGGGTTTTCACGCAAAAACTATTGAACAGATTTTGATGAAATTTCACAGTTATATAGCTGATATATGAGAGTGATACATAGACTATAATTTATATAGATATAGTAATACATTACGGAAACACGTGGGTAGAGCCGCGGGAAAACGCTAGACTAATATAAAAGGATAATCAAGAAAGAAAAACAAAAATCTGTTTTTTTTTTGTATAGTTTGTCAAACTTTTGAATTTATAATGCTTCAAAACATGTATTTATTTAAAACCTATCATAACTCCACATATTGTATAAAGCCCAATCGATACTAAGTAATCGTTGCTACAGCTTTCTAAATGGAACACTCAATAAAACAAATTAATTCGTGTCAGGATGCAACATAGGTTGTCAGCGGAGGTTTATGCATCCTGTTATGAAAGTCTTCTATTAATTGCTGTCTCCTGGTACCAGCTTGATTTACATGACGTTATTAGCTATGGAATAGATAAAATCTAGATTTAGATTGTGTTTTTGTATAATAAAATATTCCTTATCTTTACAAGTCAATACTGACAAAACATTACTTTCAAACTGAAAAAAAAATATTGGGAATTAGGGATGATTTTTTAAATTATTACTTTTATCATTATTCAGTAAAACCATATAACTTATTTAATACTAGCGACTCACCCTCGCTCCGCTCGGGTTCGTCGCTACTTACGTTATAACGTTTAGTATAGATTTCTCAGAAATGAGATACTTTCCCGCAACAAATAGTATCCTATATGTTGACCCGGATAATCAGCTATCATCATACCAAATTTCATCAAATTCCCTCCAGTGGTTTTTCCGTGATGCGGTAACAGACAGACAGACCGACAGACAGACAGACAAACAGACAGACAAAAATTCTAAAAACTATAGATTCGGCCTCTGTATCGATAATAATGTCTATTTCAATAAGATTTTCCAAAAAATATTTCATGTACAGATTGGACTCAGAATTTTATTATATGTATAGATAATTTGTTATTTAAGTTATATTTTATTTATTATATGTATTATCTCAATATAATCTCCTGGCCGATTCCGGCCACGGCGGCCAATCTCTTTGAGACTAGCCAACTGCGCAGGAGATATTATAGTGCACAAGTGTACGCGCAGACACACGTAAAGCCGTCGGTCCTGCGCCTTAACTCTCACTGGTCGTGTCGAGTAGTTGTCCCACCGGAGTATGAGAGTGACAGGAATAGAGAGTGCACTTGTGTCTGCGCGTACACTTGTGCACTATAATATCTCCTGAGCAGTTGGCAAGTCTCAATGAGATTGGCCGCCGTGGCCGGAATCGGCCAGGAGAACATCATCATCATCATCATTATCTCAATATTAAAAAAATACCTCCAAACCCGGTTATAAAGCTATATTCTAATGAACGTAAAAGATTATTATAATTAATAACACTTGAATGTCCTCAGAAGCAATATCAAAAGGCTAAATCAACCATCGTATTTAAATATTTCGTATATTTTTAGGGGTTCGAATCAAAAAGATAATAACGAATTTTATAATCTATACTAATATTATAAAGAGGAAAGAATTGTTTGTTTGTTTGAACCGAATAGCCTCCGAAACTACTAAACCGATTTAAATGAAATTTGATAACAATATAGTTTGAGACCCTTTTTTTTTTAACGTTGGGAAATGCATTTACGCACGACGTGTGTCGCAGGATCGCTTACGCATTCAACTACGACGCCCCGACGGCAGGTCTGCCAAAGCAGACCACCACAACCATGGGGTTGCTCCACAGTCCACTCTGCTATCAGAGAAGTACCAGGAGCAACCCGCATGGTACACCGCCCCCCGAAGAGGGCCACCTCCCACCGCCCACCGAAGTGGGCAACCTCCCTGTGCGTTTCTTAGCTTCGCGCCCGGTTGGATTGCCGGGTACTACTGGCCCCCCCACCACGACAAGGTGAACGCACGTTGGGGGGGATAGTTTGAGACCCTGGAAAGGATATAGGATAGTTTTTAACCTGGAAATCATCCCTTAAAGTATGAAAATGGGCATGAAAGTCTGTATGGGGAAGCAACCATATCATAACATGTCCGTATGTCAAAACTTTTTTACAATTTTGAAAATATCTCATTTACATTACAGGTCGCGACAGCGCTAATTTAAGCTCGTCCAACTCGCAGCCTCTGACAGAAGACGAAGAGAGAGAAGATACTGAACCCCGTTGTTCTTTTTGCGACGCGCCGTATCCTAATATTGATGCGTAAGTGTTTTTTTTTTAGTTATTATGTTAAAAAAGTAACATTCGCTAACTTTGCAGGAGAGTCTATTGTTTTAAATTATAGTTCACTAGCTTTGCCCGCGCCTTCGCCCGCGTTCAGAGACCAAAAACCAAATTCTTAGGTTTTACAGTTAGTATACTCTTACATTGCAGTTTTTACCTTTTTTGTTAGAAATGAGATATTTTCCCGCGGTAAGAAGTATCTTATATGTTGACCCGGATAACCAGCTATCATCATACCAAATTTCATCAACATCCCTCCAGTGGTTTTTCTGTGATGCGGTAACAGACAGACAGACAGACAGACAAAAACTCTAAAAACTATAGATTCAGACACTTTATCGATTATAATATTTATTTTATATATTATATTATAAGATTTTCCAAAAAATATTTAATGTACAGATTAGGCTTAGTTACAATTTTATTATATGTATACGTATAGATTATATTTTAGTGCTTTAAACTGCAGTCAAACGTGTTAAAACTTTTATAATAGTAGTAACCTACATATTTTACATATTATCATCCCTTATCGTTATTATAATAGTATTAGATTTATCTCTTATTCAATATCATCACATACTTAGACCGACCAAAATTAAGACTTTGAGTCCAGTTCATACAACTAACATAAATTAATACAATAAATACTAAAACAAAGATAAATAACAGTAATTTAATGTATATCACGTCTACTAAATCTCATTTATCAATAATAAATGTGTCTTATTAGAATAAAATGCATCATAATTATTATAATAATATGTAACAATACAGATCCGGCAGATTAAATACAAATTATTCATTCGTAAGCCTTATCTCAAGCATGCGTCCAATAAGCCTAAGAAGCAGAAGTCAATCAATTTCAAACGTCTTCGAAACCATTAACCCGCGATCGTTTACTATTTGGTCATCCGAAGTCAGTGTGAGATTTATTTCTTGGAGATGAGTTCTAGTGATAACACGTCGATAACTTGCTTTAGGCACGCGACGTCGCAACATCATTTTTTAAAGTTGTTACACAAACAAAAATACGACGTAATAAATTAGTTTTTGTTTCTTTCAATTTTTACTGAATGCACGAACTTTGATACAATCTTAATGTACTATTTAATTTAATTAACTTTTTCATGTAATTATTTTGATGTTTTTATCTAGCCATCTTTTTCAACAATAGACTGTCTTAAACTATTTACAAATATGAACAATTTAAGATTATATTTTTAACTAGCGACTTTCTCATTTCGCTCGGGTGCGTCTTTAGGTATGTTTTAAATAGATATAAATTGTTATTAGCCAGCGTTAGCCATGTAAATTTATTTTTTTTGCGTGAATTTTTTCGATGTTTTAATAGTTTTTCTGCTTTTCGGGGCGGAGACAAATCCAATAAATCAAAGATCATAAAAATCGGTCCTGCCGTTTTTGAGTTATAAATAGTGTAATTAATCCGACTTTATTTTAAATACCTATATCTATAGAGATAAATAAATTTGAAGTGTCCGTTTGTAATGTCAAAATAACAGCGTTTTACTAAATGCACATAGAAAAACCCAATTTTTAAAATTTTTGTTAGTCTTTCTGTTTGTCTGTTTGTTCCGGATAATCTTTGAAACGGCTGGGCTGATTTTTACGGAACTTTCATTGGAAGATAGCTGATGTTATATGGAGTAACGTAAGCTACTTTTATTTTAGAAAAAGAATTAGGGTTCCGCTCAAAAAAATTAAAACGTACCCAGGGATGAACCCGAGCGAAGCGAGCGTGAGTCGCTAGTAGATTTATAAAAGCTGATCAAAGCTCAGGGACAGATGCATATGAAACGTCGGTTGGCATACAAGTATAATACTTATAGAGGAAAGCACATCTTTCGCCTTCAGTTCATTTTAATGTAAATTGTACTGTACATTTTTGTTATTTACCTACTATTTATAATTTAAAGCCTAGTTAGAAGTAGGTTAAAACCAATTTTGGAGATTTGTTTATATATCTACATATGTACTTGGTTAGTTAATGACTTAGTTATAAATGTAGCTAACGTGCTAGCGTATGCTACAAAAGGTCAATCCACTAAGTTTGTTTAGTCTAGTCTTTTGAGAATTAAGGCATAGTTTTCAAAATCTTTGACTTTGGCTTTAAAAATATTATTACAAACTAGAATAAACTGAATAAACTAACTTTTAGTCATAAATTATAATGAATTGTTTAATAAATATTTAGGAAAAACAAATAAAACAATACTATTTAATTATGTAACAAGCGACGGACGCTTATAATGGCGTGTGTCATCACATTCTACTGATACGAAGCGCTATCGAGACTCGTCAATAATGCAAAGATCTAGATTATCGACATGCACCGTTTTAATGTATCCTTGCTGTTATCATGCCATCACTATTTAATAATCTGTTGGAAAACTTTTAAGGCCATTTAGGTGTCAATGCGTATAGGTATACGTAGGTATAAATCACATTTAAAATAATACAATATTAAAAAAAAATTAAATGTGTTATATATTCTTGTACTAGCAATGCCCGCGGCTTCGCCTGCGTTCAGATTACCAAAAACCAAATTCTTAGGTTTTACATATTAGTATGCTCTTAAATTGCAGTTTTTGTATTTTTTCTCAAAAACGAGATATTTTCCCGCGGTGAAAAGTATCTTATATGTTGACCCGGATAACCAGCTATCACCATACAAAATTTCAAAATCCCTTCAGTGGTTTTTCTGTGATGCGGTAACAGACAGACAGACAAAAATTCTTAAAACTATAGATTCAGCCTCTGTATCGATAATAATGTTTATTTCAATAAGATTTTCCAAAAAATATCTAATGTACATATTCGGCTTAGTTACAATTTTGTTATATGTATAGATATATTGTAACATATATAATTATTGAAACACATAAAAAAAAATTGGAAGATATATGAAGTTCAATCGAGTTTTGTAATTTTTTAATGTTATACAAAAGAAAACGAAATTTATGAAATCGATTTCTTCTTCTTAAACTTACTTTTCTTTACTTTTTTCTTGTCTAAAAAAATATGGTTTAACCGAACACAATATTTTGTCAACGATTACTAAATCTTTTCATTTATTAAAAACAGGATTGTTCTAACCACAATTTCATCACGTCTTGATGCAAATGGAATATTGTGTTACATATATCATTGAAATATGTAACATGTACCAATATTAGAAAGTTTTTAGTAAGCAGTATTTTCTAGCCAGACACAAATAAAAAAAAAACGTGAAAATAATCAAATCATTAATTTAGTCTCTCTTTAAAATCGATACTCTATAGAGTATATATTTATATATATGTAGTATATATTATATATTATATATAATGTACTAGCGACTTAACCTCGCTTCGCTTGGGTGTGTCTCTAGGTACGATTTTATACACAATTTCATGGGCTTAATTTTTTTGCATGGAACCCTGATTTTTGTTAAAAATAAAAGTAGCCCAAGTTACTCCTTATTAAATCAGCTATCTGCTAGTGAAAGTCGCAACAAAATCGGTCCAGCCGTTTTGGAGATTAGCCGGAACAAAAACACACAGACTGACGGACAATAATTTCAAAATTGTTTTTTCTTATTAGTACCGTATACGATATATATATATATATATATATATATATATATATATATATATATATATATATATATATATATATATTATATGCATTTAGTAAAAAGATGTTATTTTGACTGCTGTTAATTTCAAAAATCTTTTAATTTCATATGCTTTCTAATGTTACATCTCATATATTAATAAGGCATTAAATTAATCCAAAATATACATATACTGATATCGTAGTTGAATTTTTTGTTATAGATATTTACTTACGATTTATCGTTCAATAATATAAATTGTCATAATTTGTTGTCAACCGTTGAGCGCAAGGTTATGTTGTATTATTTGCTTTGTTAAATCTGTTTTGATTGTTATTACTAATGTTAATGGTCTACAATGGATTATTAAAATGTAAACTCGGGCGTCGGTAGTACGTCATTAGCAAGCTGGGCCAATAAAATGTTACGTTTTAATTACTTTATAATCAAGAAGCTTCTTTTAACCCTTCAGCTTCTTCCATCTTTTACCTTTTAGCTTTAAAATCACTTGAAAGTATAGTATCACTCATAGATGGTGTTTTTTTATATGTCGATGAGACCACCATTGTTATTTAACTTATTCATTGAAAAAGTATTATGGAAATCAATTCACAATTTGGAAAGATAAAGCGTAACATTTAACATACATACATACAAACAAAACAACCAAATTGAGTACTTCCTTTCCTTTAAATCGGTTAATTAAAAATCGCCTTTATCACTTCTATTTTTGGATTTTTAATATAGGTTCCATACGCGAGATAAAGTTGTAAAAAAATAAAAATATGTAATAAAGGTCCATACTAAAGTTCATCAAGTCAATCAATCAACACTCAGTTAATCAAATCTAAATATATAAAAAAATTAAAGATATTTTTTATTAATAGCATTTATCATTAAATTACTTACATTTCATAGATTTTATCAATACTTTTACTTTAAATAATTTAACTATGTTATATTTTAATACTTCTCCCAGTACCAGTGGCGTATGTGGGTGGAGTTAAATGGCTTGGCTTCAAATGAAAGTTGTTCATTGGATGTTATCAATCCAAGAACACGCAGATCGATTCTACGATCAGCATCTTATAATGACTATTCTCTTGTATGTCCGAACCTAATTTACATCTGAATGCGGCTGGCTGATTTATTTCTAGTTATCTTAAGTTAATTTGTAATAAAGAGTAAAAATACAAAATTAGTTAGAATTGATATGAAGACCTTATCGAGAGCTTCAATTTTAACATTAATAGATTATTGTATGATACTAATGACGCAAACCAACGACATCCTCAAAGTCCTCAGGCTATTGCCGTACAGAAAACCATAGCAATCAAAAAAAAAAATTCTTTTTCGGCGGTTAAAAGTGGCTAATTTCATTTTCTGGCTCTCTAACTATAATATGCCACATATTTCACGTTTATAATATTAATAAACAACACGCTCGTTTGGGTGACCGAGTGAAGCGGGTTCGAATCGCGCACCTTTAATATTTTCATATGTAAATCATTTCCAACATGAAGACCACTTGTCTTATGGCGAAGGAAAACATTGTGAGGAAACCTGCATGTCTAAGGGAAAGGCGGTGGACTATGTACGTATTGAAGGGAAGCCAGCCCTTGGCAGTTGGACGTTAGAAAGGGGCTGAATACATACATGGATTAGTAGTATAGACATATAATATCATATTTACATATGACTATTTTATCTGAAATAAGGATACTATATACATATTTGGTTATATAATTCTAAAAAAGCAATTTAAATGACAACTGCACCATACTTTACTATCTGTTCTATCTATCTAAGCTGACCATTTACTCGAACAAAAATGTGCCAATACAAATATTCTAAATCTTTACGCAATACACTATTAAGAGGAACACAATTGGTATCTGTTCAAACGTTTACTTGGATGTTCTTAGGTTGTAAGTAATAAAAACATCTGCTGGAGATCGCTAGGTCAGATACAGATGCGTGCCCGGGGCTATAGCGCTACATTTTGTACCCGTCATGACGATGTTGAGCTTCCAACTGAGTAATCTATCTACGCTTGTAATAAGAACGAGCAAATTTAAATGCTAATTTTATATATTTCCATACTTAGTTTTATCACTGGTAATTAGAATATTACTTGAAATTAAAAACTATTACCTACAATTGCTTGCACATGCAAATATAAAGATTTTTTTATCTATCTAATTGACTTTTATCTAGTTTAGATATTCTAAAAATATACTAGGCGTATAATTTAGTTGCTATTAATTAGTAATTGATTGATTAATTCATAATTACCATTTTAGCTCTTATGTATTCGTATGTGTTTGAACAAGTATGATATAAGTGGACTTAAAGCAATCATTTATCAGTTGATGAATGAATGAAGATAATCTCTGGGGAAATATTTGCAATAAGTAAATGGTAGCAAGCTGTTAAAGTAACCTATTTACTGTTGCTCTTTCGATTGCTTAGAGTAGGACCAAACTACGCAATCGACGAGTTACATGTAAGCGATAGAACCATTACTGGCGTTAGATTTTATTTCTAAGATTAATTAAAAGATACGGCGGGCGGTCGGCCGAGAGTGAAAACGCTCTGCCTTATCATATTGACAAGTAAGAGACTATCGTACATGCGATGTCGAACGGCCTTTCTCTAAAGCCTTCAATAAATATATATATACACGACCGGCAATGTAATTTGGTCAATTAAAATATATCTTATGTAATATGTAACAGGTGTAATGTTTCAAGTAGCTAGAGGCGGTAGGGGTTGCGTGCGGTGAACCAGTTAAGAGTCACAGTTACTAAAATCGTTCTCGCAAATAATCCGTTAGTGACGAGTGTCGGAATAGAGTTTTAAAACGCGCTTGATTTCACTTAAGTTTATACAGTATGAATAAAAAATGATGGCTGTAATTGTGCTCATGATATTGGTTGGACATGAACATGTAGGATTTATAGCAAAAATGAATTGGAACATTCACTGTGTGGAACTTAAACACGTTTGAATTATGTATGGGCCGAGTGGCTATAAGTTGTCTGCGTAGGCGATCTTGGGTCTAGATATAGATATTATTTTGTCTTCCTGTACTGGCATCCGAGTCGTCGTTTAATGCAACTTTACCGATACCAGTTCGTTAGGCTTACAATTTCACTTTCTATTATGGGTATTGAAGGAATTAGATGCATTGAAATGACTTACTTCGTACGCATTTACTTAAACATACCGTAAATTAAAGTATACACAGAGTTTTATAATAGAAATATAATATTTAATAACACAAGTATAGACTGTTACTATATATTTATAAGTAATTTGTTATGCTATGAAGATATTTAATTTTTTCTTTTTATTTCAGACTAGACCGTCACTTAATACAAGCGCACGCACAGCCTGCATCTGCATTTCATTGTGAACTTTGCAATCGCGCGTATAGCTCCCGAGCTCTACTGCTCAGACATCGCGCGTTAACGCATACTGATATTAGAAAATATCCTTGTGAAAACTGTCCAAAGGTATATTTAATTTAATGTTTTTATACTTTTATTAATTTTATTCATATAAAATGTTGTTATTTCTCTTCTTCTGTTAAAGTTAATGTTTCTTCCAAGACACTCATTCTGATTAAAAATATTATACAGTTCTTCTATCATAACGTGATCTTCAAAATCTTTTCTATAAGCTATTATATATATATCCAAAAAAAACCCAAGCGCACCTATCTTAAACAAACAAACACACAAACATATAAAAGTACAGTAAAATTATAATATTGATTAAAAAAAAGCAAAAAAATTTACCCCGCGCATCGAACCTGACATTATTCCAGGTATTTACCGATCCTTCCAACCTCCAGCGCCACATCCGCGCGCAGCACGTCGGCGCGCGCTCGCACGCGTGCCCCGAGTGCGGGAAGACCTTCGCCACCTCCTCCGGCCTTAAGCAGCACACCCACATACACTCCAGCGTCAAGCCGTTCCAGTGCAAGGTGTGCTATAAAGTGAGTATCACATTGGTATAATAAGTTTTATACTACTATAAGTTTTTTGAAGTTATACTTTTTTGGGCACGTTTGGAAAGAATTATGATAGTAAAATTTTCACGATGCGCGAACACACTGACAGCCAAAAAGCGATATGATGAAATTAGCTACATTCCTTTTACAGAGAGTTGTGACATACGGGATGAAATCTTTAGCTATTTTTGTTCTGTTACGCCAAAGAAGTATAACTTCTTACGTGCGTACATAAGTACACACACACACACTTTTTTTTCTATATAAATCTTCAACATCAAGCCAAGATAATGTAAGGTTTACGTAGTTAGTTTGAACTAATTAACTGATTGTATTTCTATATAGCCTACTTAGTCAATTTTAGGCTATTTCTTTGTTCGTCTAACTTTGATAGAAAGTGCATCTGAAGTAGCGTTTTTTTTCTTTATCAGTAAATTTTTTGGCTATTAAAATTATTCGCAATGATTAGGATTTAAATAAGCAACTTTTAGCTTAGTATAAAATCGAAAAGCTTATTCTTTGTTTACTGTTTGATTATGCCATAAATAAAATTATTTTTTTTCTATTTCCAGGCCTACACTCAATTTTCGAACTTGTGCCGCCATAAACGAATGCATGTGGCGTGTAGAGCACTCGTCGAATGCGTGAAATGCGGCCAATCCTTCCCGTCATACGCGTCTCTTACAAAGCATAAGAGATTTTGTGACACTGCGACCGCTAACGTGAATCTTCGTGGGCAGCTGCCTCAAGGATTGTCTCAAATACCATCTTTACCAAACGTCATGAATACCCCCAATAATACAAATCCCTTTCCAATGTATAGAGGCCCAGGTTTGCCTCTACCTTATAATACTTTCGCTCACTATCCTGCGATTTTCTCCGCAGCAGCAGCAGCTTGCCCACCAGAATTCTTAAGCCCTCTGTTATTTAACGTACAAGGAGCGAGACTTGCAATGGAACATGATATGGCAATGAATGCCAATCTTGTAGCAAAACAACAGGAGGGACGTATGTCTGTCAAGAGCATGGATAGCTCGACTTCGTTAGACGATATGAAGAAAAAGGACATAGATGTTGAAAAGGGAAATAATGATGATAGAGTGACTCCAAAACAACAGAATTTGTATGTGAAACAATCGCCACCATCCGCTGAAGAAGCTTCATCAAAACAGCAACCGTCTCCAGTCATGCCAATGTCGACTGCAATCCCACCATTTAATTTCACGAGGGATGAGAAGCAAAATTCTCCTTTTAATCTATCAATGAAACATAATGGTGATGTACTAGGAAACCTGCCCAAAGATTTGACTAAAAACTTGGACGAAATTGATAAGAAGTCCAGATATTCTGATATAGATGAAGATACACGGAAAGAACAAAACGATCAACCGCTCGATTTATCTGTTACACGGAAGCAAGATAAAGAGTCTGATATGGAAAATGATGATCATTCCTTTCGTAATTCGTCAGTTAAGTCATATTCGCCACCTGAAAGTCCCATGGACCGAGAGAATAAAACTCCTGAAAATGAGACAGCTAATGTCGATGTGGAAGCAGTTGAAATAGAAGATTCTCCACAGCCATTAGTTTCGCCCCCAATGGCATTCCCGATGCCAGTACATCCTCAACACAATAATATAATAGATGCGATGTACCGACCTCGCTTCCCACAGTTCCATACTTCAGACTCGATTCTAAACTCTTCACATTCCCCGTATGTCCCGAGCCCGTTCAATTTTTTATCCCCTCTTCTCGGTACTGATGGTCCCGATCGGCAAACAAACGCGTACGCAAAGTTTCGAGAACTTAGCTCAGTTTCAGGGAAACTTAGGGATCGCTATGCTTGCAAATTCTGTGGCAAAGTGTTCCCAAGAAGCGCAAATTTAACGCGTCATCTACGTACTCACACCGGGGAGCAGCCTTACAAATGTAAATATTGCGAACGTTCTTTCTCCATTTCATCGAACCTACAACGTCATGTACGGAACATTCACAATAAAGAAAGACCATTTCGATGCCCGCTGTGTGACAGATGTTTCGGGCAACAAACAAACCTAGATCGGCATTTGAAGAAACACGAAGCTGAAGGCGGAGATTCCCCGAGTTCGGCCGATACTGAACAGGACGCGTGCTTCGATGACATCCGTTCTTTTATGGGAAAGGTAACATGTTCCCCAAGCGCTGGATCGCCTTCGGGTAATTCCCCCCATCCCCCCCATTCTCACCCCCATCGACCCCCTCTCGCTATATCCACATAGCCCGGGGCTCCCCACTTTCCGCCACTATGGCATTTCGAGTGACTTGAATGTATGGACGGATCGTTACGTACGTAAGTGACACTCATAGCAATAGTAACTAGTATTATTAATGTCGTATTTCCTTTAATTAAATCTATATAATCCAGTGCATATTTTAATTCATAAATGTAAATTAAGTAATACTGTAAAAATAGTTTACATTCGTCTAATTAGATGTAATTCTGATTTTCGCTTTAGCGATTTTCTGCACGTAGCTAGGTAAATTGTAAAAAGAAATAGTATAAGAGATGTATCGGTTAAAATTGTACTACTGTTAGGTTCATTTGTAAATGTTTGTTACATAAAATGATTGGCGAAGTTAAAATTGGAGATCCACGATCTCGCGTTAGTCAAAAATCTACCAAAGCAATCGTTCTAAGGTATTCGGGAATGGGTTATTCGTATTGGGATAAAAATTAATATAAATTGGCGCTATTTAATCGTTACATTGTAATTTCTAGCTATGCGACTTAAGATATTATGTTAAATTTGTTATTTACACGTTATTGTATATATAATTAAAGGAAACATTAAGAGCATATCATAATGTGTTTGAGTAAGGTAAAAGCTACACTTAGCTATTGAAATAAATTCTAATCTTCTTCATATAAAATTATATTAATAATAAATTTTAAATTTAAGTCCGATGTTTAAGGATAAGCTTAAAAAATATCACGTTTGTTAATCAATTTCTGACATATCCACATCTTTCTCGTATCGATGCAAAGCAGCAACAGTATACAATATACAATACAATTATTAAAATTTTAATGTTTTTCTTAACTTCACTGGCTTATTATGGTTGTAAAATAGATTTTTCGTAAGTAAATCTATTTGTTTCAAGTTAAAGTCTTCAAATTATACATAATATGTAAATTTGGAATCAATGCAATACTTCAAGATAGATATTTGTACTGTTATCATATCACTTTGTGGCACTAGTAATAATAAGAATTGTCACACAATCAATAAACGCCTCTATTGTTGACTTTTTGTTTTATTTTTAAAAATCGGTTTAATATGCTCTATTAATAAACTATTACTATTATCTCTTCTATAAATGTTAATTAAAATTCGTGGTAACCCAGTTGTAAGGCACTAACTTTACGATCAAGCGAAGCGGGTTCATACATATATATACTATACTCATCATACATATATATATCATACATATATATATCATACATATACTCTGTTCATTTTCATGCGCAAATTATTTTCAACATGATTACCACTTGCTTCACCGTGACATCTTGAACCCGAATGTCTGAGAATCTAATTTTCCAACATGTGATATTCGCCAAACCGCCCTTGGCTAACGTAGTGTTTTATAGCTTGATCCCCTTCGCATTGTTAGGACAGTGCCCAGCAGTGGGACGTTGAAAAGGTATACTATAGTTTTGGCTTTCCAGATCTATTTGAAAAACACTATCCGCTACATTAATATTAAATTTGACATTTTGGAGTCCCAACAACACATTTACGTACATCAATTAATCACATTTCTGCACTTAAATTATGATTAATGCTATATTAATTTTATTTTGAGTTGAATATACTCTAAAGGACTTGCAAACAAGTTGTGTTTAAATCACGTAGGAATGCTATTAATCTCTAAATTGATATATTTAACTCTTATACGAGCGAATCAAGTTGAATTAAATAAATTAATTATTACGTAAGAGATAACCGTTGCCAACGGTTCTTATCAGTGAAAGCAAGGACGCGTGAGTCGATATTACTCTTATTAAACGGCTACTACTTGTCAGGGCTGTCAAGCTCTGTGATTTTTACCGAAATAGCTGTAAAAGGGGCTGTAATAGGAAAAATTATGGTAGGCTTTAAAATAAAAGTACAAAATAAATTGTTTCATTGGTCATTTGACATTATCATTATTTTATATATTTTATATAAGGAAATAACTGATAAAACTACTTTCATAAAATTTAATAGGTCAAAGAAAAAGTTATTGTTAAATAATTAAATTTAATTTTTAATGTCATTTTCTGACTTCCATTTTGTTATTTTAATTCATTTGCATATCGCTTCTATATACAAGAATACTTACCCTATACATAGTAGAAGTGGGCGATTGAGCTCCGTGACAGATCGTGGCTAATGGCTAACCACTAGTAGGTACGTAGGTATAAACTTAATTTATGTGTCCGTTTGTGACATCTTTATGCTCTAAGTTCTATTGCAAATTTCAAATTAATTCGGTATTGTGAAAATTTAGCCTTGGACAGCTACATGCGGTGATTGTCTGTCAAAGTAGGTAATCACAGATAAATGTGCATTTTGTTCCTAAAGTTTTATTAGAGGTAATGTGGTTACAAAACTGTTTTTATTAATTAGAATATGGTGAAGAATATCTACACTAATATTATAAAAAGGCAGAGTTTTGTTTGTTTGAACGCGCTAATCTCAGGAACTACTAATGCAATTTGAAAAATTCTTTTTGCATATTTAATTTATTAGATAGCTCGTTTATTGAGGAAGGCTATAGGCTATATATCATAATATTTTTGTTTATCTATTCCATACTAACCGTTAAATAATTTTAATAATAATAATTTTAATGTTATCACAAAAAAGTAACTAGTAAAAGATTAAACACGTAGAACTTTTGAAACGATATCATTTTTTTATCAACTTACCGCATAAATAGTTAAACACAGAGTAAGGAATCATAAAATAAATAAAGAAGTATTTATTGACATAAAAAAGAGAAAAGAGTAAAAAAAGTTAACAAAATCAGTAAAAGCTTAAGCTAATTTATGGCAAAGGATAATAACTCAGCTAATGCTGCTAAGACCGAAATCTCAAATTTTCAGTTACACCACAGTTAATATTATAGGCATGCCATTTGGGCACAATTTACTAAATTGTGCCCAAATGGCATACCTATAAGCTGCAGAACAAAGAATTGAATTGAATTGAGGAACAATAGGATAAAGTGTCACAGAACTCAACATGAAGCCAAACAATAATGTTTTAAAATAATATAAATATAATCTTTTAAAATAGTACACAAATGACAATTTCAAATAAAGTATGGCAAAAAAAGTGAAAAGTAGCATAAACAATAAATCACGCTACTAATTTTGGCGTTGGCAATTAGTTTTTAGACTCCGTCTATATAATTCTTTAGTCTTAGTTATGGGTTCTTAAGTCATCACTTAGAATTTTACATAACGAAATGCCTAAATAAAAATGTAAGTTTATAAGTTTATATTACAATCTCCAGCGAGTAAATATGGAAAATGGCCATAAACTCGGGCAGAGTCGCGGGTGATAGTAATTGAAGTAGCATTTAAAGAATGTGAAGAACTGAACAGGATTTCGGTGTGGGATCGTAACATATCGTGACGTTCTACTGCCTACTCGCAACAAATAACCATTATACATCATACAAATTTTATTTTTACTGTAAATACATATACAATGTATGTGTGTAAATACGAAAACATATGAAATGGTGCAGTTATTTTATGATCTGGTGGTATGTCTGTCTGTTGGTGTGACTTCACCAATTTCCCAGGCCTTATTTTCTTTTCTTAAAATCTTTAAAGAGCTTTTTATTTCTTAAGAAAAAATGTTAGGGCCGTGAAGGTCTATGTGGACTAATTGTTATTTTATCTACTCATTTTTATTCATAAATAGAATTAAAATTCTAGTCTTTCAGGCAATAATTTTACCCACTGGGATGGACTTTTTTGAAATTCATATTACGCGCTATGCCATATTTTAATGTCTAAATTCATTTTATAATATATTAATTAAAAAATGCATAATATTTCGCGTATATAATATGTATGTATAAAGAGAAAAATAAAGAAATAAATAAGAAAAAAGAGCTTTAGAACTGCAAATAGGTAAAGTACAGGAATAGATACAGGATCTGTGTTCATGTGGTTTACTTTTTATAATAAGATGGCTATGTGTATGTATATTAATTAATACTAGTGCTTGCCCATTGGTCGAAATTCGACAATAATTATTATTGAAAATTTGTGAAGAACATGTACATACACAACATAGTGAGGTCCGTCAACCTGCATATATACATAAATTCGATATTTAATTAAATAACCATAGTATACTGAAAAAGTAACTGAAATTGCGTAAGTTTTGTATGTTTTGTGTGCTTTTTTTGGAGGAGCCACAGCTTGTTAGATAACATGAAGGAAGAGTAGATATAGATATATTATATGTCCCTATATATATATATATATATATATATATATATATATATATATGTATCTCATATCAAAAATTATACATAACTATATCTGTTATATTATATTATATTTTCGTGACTATATACATTTTTTATAATGCAATGCAAGAAAATCAATCAATTTAAGCGATTATTATTTATTAATAATAGCTACTAGTTCTCACCCATGAAATAGTTTAAATAAAGATATTTTACAAATGTTGTATTAAAAGTATAGTTTAAGATGCTTTATATATTTCTACTTATTAGTTACTGGCAAGCAAAACCACGTGAAACAACTATTGACAATTAAAATTGGATTCAGTTCCCTTTTATGAACATAATAAATTGTTAACACAAAATATGATCTGACCAAAAGCTTACGGAGAAATTCTCTTTTTTGGTTTGAATTTTGCCGTTGATACCAATTGCTTCATATCCTTTCATTTCTTATATAGTACGTGACTTGCACGAAACAAGCTTCACGTAATTAAATCCGATTTCAGTGTGTCTTTCGCGTGTTTTTTCATTTATCCAGCTGTCAATGCTAGTGCTATAAATCTTGCTTTTGTAGTAGTCGTTAAGAGCTTTATTAAGTATTGACTCAGAAGAGTTTTTTAATTGAAACCATGAGAACCAGAACTCGAAGAATTTTAGTATCGACATCGCTATGTGACAAAACGACAGAAAATTGATTCATAGCTGCAAAGAAGTAAACGAAATTCATTTTTTTTTGCAA